GCCCGCCACAACGCCCGGCTATTTTTTGGTTGCAGCCGTCATTGTTGTTTGGTGGCTGGGGCTGGATTCGAACCTGCCAGCTTAGGTGTATGTGGCTGGCGCCTTAGCCACTTGAGCTGAGCCCCCTCCCCCTTTTTTAAACAGACTTTACTCCCCAAACACTTTTTATTTTGCAGTTGAATTCTGAGCAATGCTGTGTGGCAGGTGCCATCCCTATCCCCTTTCATTCCTCTTCCCAGAAAACCGGCACAGGAAGGATGGGATCCTTGGTGTGCCCAAGCTAGTGGCCAAACTTTAGTGTGTTTTATTTTCTGCATCACCCCTAAGCCTGAGCTAGTCGGTCGGGCTGAATGTAAGGCCCTAGAGCAGAGGACAGAGGAGCCAGTTCTCTGTAAAGGGGGAGGGTGGATGTGCAAAGGAGACTCTGGGAGCCTCTATGGGCCACCCGAGCTGTCCATCTGCCCCTGGGGCAGTCTGGCCGAGTGTGGGGGAAGTGTGTGCCTGGAGCCCAGGTCTCAGGCCCGTGTCTGTCCCCCCAGCGAGGGCAGCATCATCTCCTACTACTGGTCCGAGTTCAGCATCCCCCCGCACCTGGTGGATGACGCGGAGCGCGCCATGGCCCAGGAGCGCATGGTCACGCTGCCGCCGCGTGCACGGGCCCGGCACTCCTTCCAGCTGACCTCGGTGGTGGCTTTCCGTGAGTCAGGGGGGTCGGGATGGGGCAGGGGGGCGGGGCTGGGCCCTGGACCGTTGCTGGGGGACCAGAGCCCGGTGCCCTGAGAGAGGATTGCTTGCTGCTCCTCCCTCACCATAATAAGGAAGCAGGAATAAGGAAACTGACCTTATCAGTAAGTACCTTCCTCTCCTTCTTGTTCTCAGCCACCGACCCCAGAACACTGCAGAGGACACAGGACAGTGAGTCACATGGGTCCTCCTGTGGGTGGAGAGGAGGAGGGATGTGGCCAGACCTTGGGGTGGGGAGGGAGTTCCCCTCAAGTGAGGCCATGCTGAGCCCTCCACCTTTTCCAGGCTTTGCTGAGAAGCCCCCTTCTTGGTCTCCAAGTCTAGGGAAGCCTGGGGCCTCTCAAGGAGCCAGGCCTGAGATGAACCCCCGCGGGGTGTCGGGGCGCTCCCCAGCCTGCCGCACCCCACGCCCTCATTCCTGTCTCCTGCACAGACAGCTGCAGCTTCGCCCTGCACACCCGCAGCGGGGAGCTGACTCGCTTCGCCACGCCCGGCTTCCCCGACAGCCCGTACCCGGCTCGCGCCCGCTGCCAGTGGGCCCTGCGCGGGGACGCGGACTCCGTGCTGAGCCTCACCTTCCGCAGCTTTGACGTCGCTCCGTGCGACGAGCGTGGCAGTGACCTGGTGACGGTGTATAACACCCTGAATCCTATGGACCCCCACACCCTGGTGCAGTGAGTATCTGGGGAGCAGTGGGGGGAGCAGGGCCCCTGCAGGGCCAGCCTCGGGACAAGTTGCAGTGTAGGTTTGGGATATAGCTCAGGACTGTCGGCCTGTGCTGCTAGACATCCAGGCAGCAAGGACAGATGTGGTGTGGCACTCAGTGTGAGCCCGGGTGGAGTGTCCAGGAGATGATTTCCTCGGCTTGGCCAGGTGGGAAGCCCCCCTTCAAACGCCAAATCCATGCCAGCAGAGTGCACTTCCTTTAACTGGCAGAGAGATGGTGGAGCCCTTTTTATTACTATTCAGATAGGCCAGTAGGTCGAGAGCTGTTACTCACAGGTCCAAGAGGAGGGGCACAGCCCAAACTCAGGGCCACAGGGGGAAGCTCCTGGCCTGATCCCGAGGCAGTGGGAATGAGGGGAAAAGGTGGGCAAGAGCTTTTGTTATAGTTTACACAGGAAAGGCGAGATGAGACATATGAACTGGCTTAGGACTGGCTTGTTTGGATAATTTCGGAGGGCTTGGAGCATAGGAGCTGTCTCTCCCTGTCTGGACCTGGCCCTGGGGTGATTAGGGCAAGGAATACTGGCCCTGAGTGTGACATCCTGGTAGAGGAAGTGGGGAGGTCTGGATTCCTTTATTTGCAGGTGAAAGATTCACTTACAGGTGAGTCCTTTACCATCTCCAGACATGGGCTGGCCCTGGGGGGGTCAGTCTCTGGGTCAGCAAGGCCCCACATGTCAAAGCCTCAGAATTACAGAAAATAAAAAAGGTTCATCTACATGCTGAGAGGTCGGGGCACTGAGGAGAGTACCCCAGTCCAGCAGGGGGACCCACCACCCAGAGGTGCAGCTGGTGGAGGTGAACTGTCTCTCCCTGACTCAGTGGGCCAGAGCCTTCTATTACTCTCTGTGGGAACAAGCTGGGTGGGCTTCTGTGATTAATGGCTAAAATTCTGGCCCCCAAACAAGCTAGGACCATCTGCTGTCACAGCTGATCAGCCACAACTTCTCTCTCTAATTTATTAATTGCACAACAAAGAAATACATGATCCCAAAAAATAAGTAGGAATCGGGAAGGGAAAAGTCAGTCATCATCTTACTACCTAGAAATACACCTCTGTTAAATTTTTTTGGGGGGAAGATCTAATTGTCTGTATTTTGCTTTATCAAAATAAACTATCAGAATAAGCCATATTGGATGTAGATTGCCTTGAGTGTTTCACTGTCATATGCAATCCTGCCAGATTACAGATTTTGACACACGTCTCATTGTTTTTAAAACCCAGCTGCTAGGAGAGTTGCTGGGTTGACGAGATCTGAGAGAACCCATGTTTTTCAAGCCTGCGCACATTTTACTCAGATCTTACTGTGACACTTGCTTACTTCATCTGCTGAGAACTAAAGATTTTGTTAAATAGAACGTCTCAGCTGTATTTCTGTGGGCTCCTTCCTAGGCGTTTTGGGTTATGTATTTCTGTTTTGTACAATTTCATTAAAGTTTGTGAGAATCCTCACTGTGATTTACATTCTAAATCAAATCATGGTCGTCTCCCTACTTTTTAATTTTTATTTATTTATTTTAAATTTTGGATTAATACGAGGGTACGTATAATTAGGTTACATTGTTTGCATTTGTTAGGAAAATTCCAAGTTGCATTTGAGTCTTTCACCCAGGAGGTGTGGCATATACCCCTTCACTGTACCTGTTAGGTGGGAGCTTACTGAGCCCCAGTCCCCCACGGTTTCATTTTTGGTGTATATTTTCCCAGACGTTTTTACTGTGTGTACATGTTTAGAAATAGGATCATAGGTAGCTTGTGTGATGAGAGTGTATGCTTAGTTTTGTAACTTGCTTTTATTTATTTATTTATTTATTTTTAGTTATCTTTTTTTTTTTTTTACAGTTTTTAGCTGGGGCTGGGTTTGAACCTGCTACATCTGGCATATGGGGCCAGTGCCCTACCCTTTTGAGCCACAGGCATCGCCCTGTAACTTGCTTTTTAAAGATGAAGTATATTATGATGATCTTTTCAAATCACTCATCCTGTCTCTAAGCATGAGTTTTTGTTGCCCTTTGTTTGTTTTTAAAGACAGGGTCTTTTCTCTGTCACTCAGGCTGGAATGCAGTGGTGCAGTCAGCTCACTGCAGCCTCAAACTCCCAGGCTAAAGCAACTTTCATGCCTCAGCCTCCCAAGTAGCCGGGACTACAGGCGTGTACGACCATGCCCAATTAATTTCTTAATTTTTTGTAAAGATGAGGTCTCACGGTGCTGCCCAAATTGGTCTTCAATTCCTGGCCTCAAGCAATCCTTTTGCCTCAGCTCAGCCTCCCAAAGCACTGGGATTATAGGCGTGAGCCACTGTTCCTGACCTAAGCATGGTTTTTAATAGTTATATAAGGCCATATTGTTTAGAAGCAGGTGACACAGTCGTGGTGACGCAGTTGTTAAGAGCGTGGACCTTGGAGCCTGAATGCCTGAGTTTAAATCCAAGCGCTGCTATTTATTAATTGTGGGATCTTGGGCAAGTTACTGAACCTCTCTGTGCCTCAGTTTCCTTATCTCTTAGGTGGGGACAATAGTACCTACTTCATGGTTGTGAACATTATAAGTTAACAGTTATAAGGCACTGAGAACCATGCCAGTGGTAGTGTTACTGCTATTATTATTATTATTACTATTTTGGCAGTTTTTGGCCAGGGCTGGGTTTGAACCCGTCACCTCCGGCATATGGGGCTGGTGCCCTACTCCTCTGAGCCACAGGCGCCACCCAGTGTTACTACTATTATTGAGGTCATAGTTTATTTACTAAGTCCTCTGTTGGTAGACAGTTACCCTTCCTGGGGCTTTGCTATTTTAAACAAAGATGAACAATCTTATCCCTAAATCCTTACTTGGCATCAGTGGTTGTGTGTGGGACTTGCCTGATGGTCTTTTTGACTCCACCCTAGGCCTTTGTGGATGGGACCAGGGTAGGGGATGGGGTCCCAGCCCCTGCCTGGGGAGCCTTTGGCTGTGTGTATGCTGGGGTTCTGCTGCTCTCCTAATGCCCGCCCTCTGCCCTGCAGGCTTTGTGGCACCTACCCTCCGTCCTACAACCTGACCTTCCTCTCCTCCCAGAACGTCCTGCTGGTCACACTGATAACCAACACAGAGCGGCGCCATCCTGGCTTTGAGGCCACCTTCTTCCAGCTGCCTAAGATGAGCAGTAAGGCAGGGCCTGGCAGGGAGAGAGTTTGGGGGGGGGCACCTACAGCCTCAAGGCTACATGTGGCCCCACAGATCCTCAAGTGTGGCCCCTTGACTGAATCCAAATTTATGAGAACAAATTTGTTCTGTAAAATTTGGATTCAGTCATAAGGCCGCAGTCAAGGATCCAGAAGGCCCTAGACACAAAGATCCACTAGATCAGCGGTTCTCAATCTGTGGGTTGTGACCCACAGGAACTGTATTAAAGGCTCGTGGCATTAGGAAGGTTGAGAACCACAGCGCTAGACCCTGTGGCTGGCAAACTGGCCCAGGTCAGTGACAGAGGTTGAAGCTGGAGCCAAAGGGCATTTTGGCAACATAGCAGGTCAGGATCCCCTGTCAAACTTCTCAGCACCATGCTGTGTAGTGTCCAGGTGCCCAGCAGGCAGCTCGAGACCTCAGGGCAAGGAGCCCGCACTGGCCGCCTGCTTGGCAGAGCAGATCTTCCATCCTCATGCTCTTTCTCCTGCCTCTCCTTCCAGGCTGTGGAGGCTACTTACGTGACACCCAGGGGACATTTAGCAGCCCTTTCTACCCAGGCCACTACCCACCCAATATGGACTGCACATGGGACATTGAGGTAGGAGCTGGGGGTGTGGCTGGGAGGGATCGAGGGAGAGAAAGAGGTGAGTGCTCCAGGTGGGGCAGAAGGGAGGGAAGGCACCACTCTGGAGAGGCCCCAAGGAGGCCGCACTTCTGAGGCCTGAGGGCAGGGTGAGCCTTTCCCACTGCAGCTCAGGCCCACACTCAGATGCCAGCGCCTTGACCAACGACTTACTGGAGACCTTTGGTGGTCACTGAGCCTCTCCGTGCTCCAGTTTGCCCTTGGGTAAAGTGCCTGTGTGTCAGAGGTGCAGTCCGGGCGAGATCAGGGAGTGTGTGTGGAACACAGAACAAGCACTTTTTCTGTGACAGTGAGATAAGAGAGCTGCACCTGTACGTGCCTCCCATGGTGTCCCAGAGAGCCGTCTCTTCTTCCTTGCCTCAAAAACTCTGGGGGAGCGTTATTAGTCAAACTCCCTTTAGCTGGGCACAGTGGCTCACACCTGTAATCCCAGCCCTGTGGGGGCTAAGGTGCTTGAGGCTTGGAGTTGGAATGCAGCCTGAGCAACATAGTGAGACCCCCCTCCCTACAAAAATTAGAAAACTTGGCCAGTCATTGCAGCATACTCCTGTAGTCCCACTACTCCAGAGGCTGACTCTGGAGGGTCATTTGCACCCAGGAACGCAAGGCTGCAGTGAGCTGTGATCGCTCTGCACTCCAGGTTGGTGACAGGCGGAGACCCTGTCTGTAGACAGCCAGCTTCTTCAGTAATGAACAGTGTCCCGCCTTCCTTAGTAATGTCTCCCCCAGCTCCATGCGATCCCCCTGGGCATGTGACATCCTGGGGTAAGGAAAGAGGGAGGAGCCGCAGATCCCAGCAGCATACCTCTCCGCAGGTGCCCAACAACCAAAACGTGAAGCTTCGCTTCAAAGTCTTCTACCTGCTGGAGCCCGACGTGCCACTGGGTACCTGCCCCAAGGACTACGTGGAGATCAACGGGGAGAAGTGAGGCCCCGGGAGCCGGGGGGGTGGTGGGGGTCCCGTGAGCACCCAGTGCCAGCTGTGTACCTGGAGCTGTCCTGCTCACCCAGCGCCACCCCTGCAGGTACTGTGGAGAGAAGCCCCAGTTTGTGGTCACCAGCAAGAGCAACAAGATCACAGTTCGCTTCCATTCGGATCAGTCCTACACCGACACCGGGTTCCTGGCTGAATACCTCTCCTATGACTCCAGTGACCGTGAGTGCATGTCACTGGGGGGGCCTGTTCAGAGGACTAAGCCAAGAGGCGTCGTATACTCTATCTCCTTAGCATCACTCTTTCCTGATTCTGAGATAGCGGAGAATGTGAGATGCTTATTGTTCTAGTAGCTTTTTGAGGACAAGGTGCTACTTTTAGTGCATTTATCAGAGAAGACTGGTGGCGGCTGCTGGTGCACACTGTGCCATTCCGGGTTGAGGTCCCAGCGTGAGGGACCTGGAGCCTGAGTGCTCCTCTCCAGAGTTCCTCTGGGCCATCTGTCCCTCTGGTTCTGCTTTGCTGTGACTTTGATCTATGTTTGTCTTTGTGTCTTTTTAGCACCTTTCGGGTTAATAGTGTACGTTTTAGATATACATGCTATTAGAAAGTACTGGTGGGGGGTGGGGCACTGGCCCTTGCCTGTAATTGTAGCACTCTGGGAGGCCAAGGTGGGAGGATCACTTGAGCTCAGGAGCTTGAGATTAGTTTAAGCAACAGCAACCCTGTCTTTACACAAAAAAAGAAAAACTAGACAGGTGTTGTGTGTGTGGGAGTGCCTATAGTCCCAGCTACTCAGGAGGCTGAGGCAGGAGGATTGCTTGAACCCAGCAGTCTGAGGTTGCTGTAAGCTACGATGACGCCCCGGCATTCTAGCCTGGGCAATAGAGTGAGAGGTGTTTCAAACAAACAAACAAATAAATGGTATTGGCTGCGTGAACAGCAGTTCATCCACTTACATAATGATTTTTAAATTTCAACCTTATGTCATAACTTTTTGAAAGATACTTTAACTGAACTTAGGAATCCAAATTTAAGGTAAAATTCAGTTGTGTGACTTACCACCAAAAGTATAATTAAATGAACAAATACCTTTGACCTAAACTTAACCCGTAGCTACTTAACCCGTAGCTAAAGTGTAGTGATGGGGAGGTGGTGGGAGTGGCTGCCTCATAGCTCTGTCAGCTGCCTGATGACAGCAGTGTCCGATATCCCCTGACTTCAGAAACATTGAAATGTGGAAAATACTCCTATCTTAGAATGAACAAAATAGCGGATGTCATTTACATTTGGATAGGACAAGGTGTACCATTGGTCTGCTGAGCCACTGTGCTGCTGTCCTGTCACAGGCAGAGAGCCGGCCTCAGAGGCTCCTGGCAGCCCAGGACAGGGCGGTAGGAGGGCCTGAAAGCCCAGTCCGCCTCCATGCACTGTGCCCACAGCTTCCCAGGCTGTGGCCATCAGTGGCGAGGAGGGACCCCAACCAGCACAGGCTGGAGGTTCCTACACCCGCCCTCAGCACACAGGCTGCTGGTTGTAGGAAGCCCTTCACCAAAGCTCAGCGACCCTGCTCCCCACCCTCTGTGTGTTTGTGGCTGTGTCCTCAATGTGGCTGTGAGGCTGGCCTGAGGGAGGGAGGCGGCTGGCTGCATGCACCTCAGCCTGCCCTGTGCCCTGCAGCCTGCCCGGGGCAGTTCATGTGCAACACCGGCCGTTGTATCAAGAAGGAGCTGCGCTGTGACGGCTGGGCCGACTGCACCGACTTCAGTGACGAGCTCCACTGCCGTGAGTTGGGCTGGGAGCCCTGGGCTTGCACCACTGAGCCCCATGGCAAAGGCCTGATGGGCGGGTGGGTGTTCTCATGAGGCTGTGTAGGGACACCTGGCCCCTTCCCTGCTCCCTGCCTCTGGAGATCTTTGCCTCCATGGGAGCAGGCAGTGGGTGTCTTGGAAGTGTCAGCGTCAGTTCCGCAGCCAGTGTTGGAGGGAGCTCCAGGTGGTCCTGAGACAGCTCTGTGGTTGCCCTGGTTAGGGGCAGCTGAGCCTCTGCCCTCACCCTGCCCTCACCCCTGCCCTAGAGTGCAATGCCTCCCACCAGTTCACGTGCAAGAACAAGTTCTGCAAGCCCCTCTTCTGGCTCTGTGATGGCATGAATGACTGTGGGGACAACAGTGATGAGCTGATGTGCAGTGAGTGCCTGTGGTGGGGGGCAGGGCAGGCCTGGGGGTGGGGATAGGCCTGGGGTTCCCTGCTAGGCCCGGTGGGTAGGGGCATGGCTTTAAATCCTTGTGTGTCCCCAGCTTGTCCAGACCAGAATTTCAAATGCTCCAATGGGAAGTGCGTCCCGAAGAGCCAGCAGTGTGATGGGAAGGACGACTGTGGGGACGGGTCTGATGAGGCCACCTGCGACAGTGGTGAGGCCCAGCCCTGCCCACCTCCTCCTGGGGGGCTTTTCACCTACTGGAGCTGCCCCCCTCCCGGGAGCTGCCGTGGAAGCTCACCCAGAGTGTGACAAACACAGACCACCTGTGCATTCAGTGTGCCGAGAAAGGGTGTCAGATGGGGGAGAATCTTCCAAGAAGCAGAGAACCTATAGGGCGGGCTGGAGGGACATTGGGCCTGGGTGAGGGTTTAAGGTGGGTGGGGCACAGGGTGCTGTCTGGGGCTTTCTGGCACTGGCCCCAGCTTCTGGTTGGTCCTGCAGATTGAATCTCTTCCCTGTGTCCTCCTTGAACAGGGAGAGTCGTCACTTGCACCAAACACACCTACCGCTGCCACAATGGGCTCTGCCTGAGCAAGGGCAACCCCGAGTGTGATGGGACAAAGGACTGTAGTGATGGCTCGGATGAGAAGGACTGTGGTGAGCGGGGGCCCTGAGTGTGGTCATGCAGCTCGCTCACTGTGCAAGGCACCCACCCGAGGGTGCACCAGGAGGCGGCAGTCCTCCTGCTCCGTCACCCAGCTCTGTGCCGGGTGAGAGGGTGTATCTCCTAGAGGAAAGGAGGCTTTGCCAGTTGGCACAAAGGCACTGCCCCACAGGCTAGCTGTGGTCCTGGAGAGAGGCCTGGGGCAGCCAGCGTGTCCTCACCTCTGGTCCCTGTCTGGGGTGCTGGACCGACCTCTACTCTGTAGACATGGCATGGGGGAGGAGCCAGAGCAGAGCAGCCCGGCTTGCCCAAGCACTGGACAGGGTTTCACCCTCGCTCACCCGTGGTTAAATTTGCAACCTCTGCTTCTGAAGTATGGGGCCACAGGTTACATTTGAGAACAGCTGCAGCTATTCTGTGACTTCATGACACCCATTTGCTTTTCCCTCTGAGAGCTGTGCCCTTCAGCATTCAGTGAGGACATCCAGGCAAATGACACTCAAATCTAAGCAAATCTGTAGGCATCTACAGGCCCCTCCCCACATTTGTGTAGGATGGAGAGGTGGGAGCATGAGGGCTTTGAACTGGGGGGAAGGAGGGGTAGGAGCGTGAGGGCTTTGAACTAGGCAGAAGGGGGGCAGGTGGGATCAGAGGTTCTGTGATGCTCCAGATACTTCTGGGGTCCCTTACGTGGTGCCTGCTCCAGCAGGGCTGTGCACACCAAAAGGTGACTTCCCTGAGCAGGGTCTTGCTGCACCTGGTGTGTGTCCCCGGGTTGGTGCCCCCACCTGACTCTCTGTCTGTGGTTCTCTGCCCCCTCTGCAGACTGCGGGCTTCGGTCATTCACCAAACAGGCTCGGGTTGTTGGGGGCGTAGATGCAGAAGTAGGAGAGTGGCCCTGGCAGGTGAGCCTGCACGCCCAGGGCCAGGGCCACGTCTGTGGGGCCTCACTCATCTCTCCCAGCTGGCTGGTGTCCGCAGCTCACTGCTTCATTGATGATAAAGGATTCAGGTGGGTTGCTGGGTGTGCAGCAGGGAGTGTCTGTGAGTCATGCCAGGTGGGCTGGCTGTGGGCCGATAGCCCAGGACAGGGCTTAGTAATAGGAATAATCAAAACCCACTGTCTTTAGGTACTTGCTCTCAGTCAAGCCCTATCTCTGTGCTCTCGTAACAACTCACTAACAAGTGAGGCAGATCTGATTATATCCTCATTTTACAGAAACTGAGGTTCAGAGACGTGAAGACATTTGCTTGGGATTACATAGCTGTTAAGTGTCAGGGTCAGACCAGAGCACAGCCTGGGCAATACATTGTGTCTAGGCTCGGCACCTGTGGCTCAAGTGGCTAAGGTGCCAGCCACATACACCTAAGGTGATAGGTTCAAATCCAGCCCGGGCCCGCCAAACAACGACAGCAGCAACCAAAAAATAGCCAGCGTTGTGGCGGGCGCCTGTGGTCCCAGCTACTTGGGAGGCGGAGGCAAGACACTCGCTTGAGCCCAGGAGTTGGAGGTTGCTGTGAGCTGTGATGCCATGGCACTCTACCCAGGGGACAGCTTGAGGCTCTGTCTCAGAAAAAAAAAAAAAAAAAATCTTGTGTCTACAAAAAAAAATAGCTTTCCAGCCAGGCAAATGTCTGTAATGTGGCTCATGTCTGTAATCCCAGCTGAGGTGGGTGGATTACCTGAGTTCAGAAGTTCGAGACTAGTATGAGCCAGGACGAGACTCCATCTCTAAAAACATGACATAGCTGGGCATTGTGATAGGCACCTGTAGTCCTGCCTACTTGGGAGGCTGAGGCAAGAGGATCGCTTAAAGCCTAAGAGTTTAAGGTTGCTGTGGGCTGTGACACCACGGCACTCTATCCAGGGTGACAGAGTGAGACTCTGTCTCAAAAAAAAAAAAAACCCAAAAACTAGTGGGGTGTACTGGTGGGTGCCTTTAGTCCAAGCTACTTGGGCAGCTGAGGCAAGAGGATTGCTCAAGTCTAGGAACTTGAGGTTGCTGTGAGTTATGATGCCACGGCATTCTTCCCAGGGTGACAGAGTAAGATTCTGTCTCAGAAAAAAGAATAGCTTTCCTTCTCCCCTCATCTAATTTTTTTTTTATTTCAGAATGATATGAGGATACAGATAGGTTACACTGTTTGCATTTGGAAGGAAAGTACAAGCTGTAGCTGTGCCCCTCCCTGAGGTGTGCCAGATGCCTCTACTCATAAACTTTTTTGAAATTACATTTCCGACTCAGGTGGACGGCTGCATCCCCCAACCCTGCTTTATTGTTCTGAGTGTGTCTATAGTTTCACCTGTTTTGGTGTTTATGTAGCCTGACTTGAACCAGCCAGGGCTGTGTCAGGCTGGCTGCTCCCGGGTCACAGGCTCACACACTTCCTACAGAAGCAGAAGGTTTCAGGTTCACCTTACACTCCCTGCCCCAGATCTGAAGTCAGTCATTCCTCCAGGGAACCTTGGCTCCTTTCGGTACAGAAGGGCCCTTAGAAACCAAGTTCTTGATGCTGTTGGGGAGGACATTGCTTTTAGTTAAATTTTAAAAATCCTGCAGTTTTCCATCCAGATACCTCAGATCCCCTCTGGTGTCTGTGTCTCCCCTCCCCACCCTGGGAGGTGGCTCCTGGCAGGACCCGAGCCTTTCCTTCCCAGCTCCCCCCTCCTGGGTCCATGATACAGTTTCAGAATCGTTTAACCTGTTCTCCTGCCAACAACAAACAGAAGATAAAACTCAATATATTTTTCAATTCATTTCAGTCTTAGGATCTATACTGCTGTGTTCAAAAATTATTTGGATTGATTTTTGTGTTATTCTTTCTGTGAAAGACCAAGTTCCTAAGATAACTATTTTTTAGTAATCAGATTGAGAGTGTATTCAGAGAGGTCAAGAAGGGTTTATTGCTGCAGCAGGAAGTTTCCAGTTTGGGGTCAAGACCAAGAAAGCAGCCCCCTGGGGCTGGTCTGTGCGCGGGGGGCAGCCTTGTGCGGTCCTATGGGGAGCTCAGCCTCCTGCCCTGCCCGTGTGCACCGACTGGGGTCCCTGCACAGCCTCACGGTGCCCCCCCCCCGCGCAGGTACTCGGACCCCAAGCAGTGGACAGCCTTCCTGGGGCTGCACGACCAGAGCGAGCGCGACGTCTCTGGGGTGCAGGAGCGCAGCCTCAAGCGAATCATCCGCCACCCCTCCTTCAACGACTTCACCTTCGACTACGACCTGGCGCTGCTGGAGCTGGAGCAGCCCGCGGAGTACAGCGCCGTGGTCCGGGCCATCTGCCTGCCCGATGCCTCCCATGACTTCCCTGCGGGCAAGGCCATCTGGGTCACAGGCTGGGGGCACACCCAGCAGGGAGGTGAGCTTTGGGTGGGGCCGGGCATCTGCGGAGGGCGGGGCCGTTCCCTGCACCAGCCTGCGCAGCCGAGATACCCGGCCACTTGTGTTGGCCTTTGGGCTGGTGACTCGCCCGCCCCCTTTCCCTTTGCCTGGCTGGACAAGGCTGTCCAGGGTGGAGGAGGCATCTTGCCCCAGAGTGTGGGAATTGTAGGCGGGGCTCTGGATTGGCGACCTGGTGGCCTGGCTTTGCCCCTTAGGTACCTGCTTGGCCTTGGATGAGGGGCTTAAACACTCTTGGCCTTGTCTCTGCATCTGCAAAGTGAAGATAAAAACACCTTCCCAGGCTTGGCGCCTGTGGCTCAAGTGGCTAAGGCGCCAGCCACATACACCTAAGGTGGCGGGTTTGAATCCAGCCCGGCCCACCAAACAACAATGACGGCTGCAACCAAAAAATAGCTGGGCGTTGTGGCGGGCGCCTGTGGTCCCAGCTACTTGGGAGGCGGAGGCAGGAGAATCGCCTAAGCCCAAGAGTTGGAGGTTGCTGTGAGCTGTAATGCCAGGGCGCACTACCCAGGGCACTAGCTTGAGGCTCCGTCTCAAACAAACAAAACACCTTCCCAGACAGCGGTTTGTGACTTAGGGAGGCCTCCTGAGCAGTGCCTGGGTCACACCCTGTCACGGGATTAATTGGTAAATGCTCGATCGGAAATAATCTGTCATTAATGGAACACACTACAGACCACGCAGAGAGTATAGAGAGGAGAGAGCGCGCCCCGGGGGCAGTTGCGGCACTTGGTCCCCTTGCGTCTGTTTGCTGGCCGCTGGTCTCCCGTGTCTTGCGCTCTGCGTGACCTGACGGGTCTGCAGCTCGCCCACGCTGCTGCGGGGCAGATGCGGGTCAGTCCCCTAACTGGGGTGTGCAGCCCTCACCCATCCTCCCTCCCTCCCCACAGGCAGCGCCGCGCTGATCCTGCAGAAAGGCGAGATCCGTGTGATCAACCAGACCACCTGCGAGAAGCTGCTCCCGCAGCAGATCACGCCACGCATGATGTGCGTGGGCTTCCTCAGCGGCGGCGTGGACGCTTGCCAGGTGCGCGGTCCTGGTGCGGGTGCGGGCGGGGGCTCGGGAGGGCAGGGGGGCGGCCGGGCACGGACACAGGCTCACTGCAGGCGCGTCTCCTCAGGGCGACTCCGGGGGCCCCCTGTCCAGCGTGGAGGACGGAGGGCGGATCTTCCAGGCCGGCGTGGTGAGCTGGGGCGAGGGCTGCGCGCAGAGGAACAAGCCAGGCGTGTACACCAAGCTCTCTATGTTTCGGGACTGGATCAAAGAGCAAACCGGGGTGTAGGGGCAGGGGCCGCCCACACCAACGTATGCATTTTGGGGGCCACCTGGACAAAGCACCTGCAGGCCGCCCACTGGACAGGCTGACACGCAGGCCTGCGGGCTGAGAACTGGACTTCTGACCATCCGTGCCTGGGCCCCAGAACCCCCAAACTGTGAACTGCACCTGGGGTCGGGGTTTGCCCAGACAGCCTGACCCCCCCACTCAGCCTGCACAGGGAGGCTGGGAGTGATGGGGGAGGATGCTGGTAGTGCTGGTGGCCCAGCTGGGGACAAAGGTTTGAAGACATAACCTCCGGGCGGAGGCTCTTCCAGAGACCTGCTTCCTCTGTCCACCGAGCACCCAGAATGTGGCTCTGGGCTCTGGGGAGGGCCGAGGGTCCTAGGGACACGCCCTTCAGGAAACGCGGGCCCCACGCCTTGCAAGACAGACAAGTCTAAGACTGGAGAATTTTGACCAGCCCCCAGCGTGGGCTTGAATGCGTGCGTTTATTTGTGTGTGTGAGTAAAACATTTTGTTTTTAAGTCTTTTTTTCTTACTAGAGTTGGGCCTTCTTCCTCCTTCCTTTTAGCTCTACAGGGCGTCCTAAAGTCCCACCTCGGGTCACATGGGCAGTTGTAGCTAAATAGTCCTCTACTTATAAAATATTCATTACAGAATTCTACAAAATATTTACAAAATATTCTCTACCTATTGGCTACCTCTTTGTAAAATTTTGTAAAGAATATTTTGTAAATAAAGGTATATTTAGTTACAATCACCATGTACCCCTATGTAAGGCAACTTTATGAGTGACTTCTGGGATACCCCACATTTGCACGGAACTGGACTCAACTTCCCCTCAGCAGAGATGCTGGAGTCAGGCCCAACAGGGCCCACAGTGCCCTATCTCCTCCAGGCCAGCAAGGGGCCACATTCCTGCTCTTGCCTGTAGCTTAGGGGCCTGGTGCCCTGAGAGGAGGCACTGGCAGGGTGGCGGAGGAGCCTGGCGCAGAGGCCTGTTGTGGGGAGGTGATGCCGCCGCTGCCCAGGCCTGGGTGCGAACCAGGCTGTCCAGCCTGGGCCCAGTGGATGGGTCCTGAGGCCTTGCAGGAAAGGTGCTGCCTTGCTCCAGGGCACCCACATCCCCCCTGCCATCCACCATGATTTTTACTTATTAAAATAGTCTCTTTCTCTTTGCTTGGGATGGGCCAGAGGGACAGTGTCAAAGGTCTGGGGAGGAGTTAGGGAGCTTTTGAAGGGAGCTTTGAGGGCTTGTATGTTGAGGCCCCACACGTGCACATGGCCAGGTCCTGTGGCCTCTGCTCATCACTGTATCCCTGGTCAGGCCTGTTTCTAGAAGGTGCTTGTATGGAGACAAGGTGGAGGAAAGGAACCCTCCTGCTGGGAGCAACCCAGCAAGCCATCTGGGGCAGTGGGGTTTGAGCTGCCTGCCTGAGTGTTTCACCCGCTTGAGGGCAGAAAAGTTTGTCTGGAACCTGTGCAAGCATTCCTGTTGGATTTCTGCCCAGGGGAGGGAAAGAATATCTGTTCTTATCAAGGTATAGGAAGTGGAGAGAATGAAGACAGCAAAAAACTGCAGACTGTACCGCTGTAAATGTCACTCTCTCCTGATTGTGTTGGTCAGACGCGTCCCAATGCAGGTGCTGAGCCAGAGACAACATTAAATGAAGAGGTTTCACGTGGCTCGTGTGTGACCTGGTTCTTCAGTGTGTGTGAACCTTGGTGGCCAGGGCATAACCCAAGTGTAGATGTGTTTCACATGGTGGGGTTCAGCGTGGCCACCCACAGCACCCTCCTTCTCACTGTGGCCTGGCACCCGTTTTGACAAGTCACTCCCCTGGGTGGATGGGTGGGCAGGAGACTTCCCTGTAACAGTGCTGTGTTCCTGAATGGCAGTGCCCCCCGTTCTCCTGCCCTAGGTTAATGGGGTTCACCAGACTCAGTTTCCCACCTGTGCGGTTTAAAGACACAGATGGTTAGTCTTTCAGTCACCCCCACCCTCTCCAGGACTCTCAGTGGGAGGTTTAGGGTGGGGACTGGGTGTGCCATCTGTGACAGCTCCCTGGGCAACAGTGTTGGTTCCCCTGGAACTCAGGTGTAGCCTCACATGTCACCCAGGCCTCCTAGATCAGAAACTAGGGTGGGAGACCCAGAGGTCTGAGCTCAGAGAGGTCTTCCGGGTGATTCTAATGCATGGGAAAGTTTAGGAAGCACTGTCCCAACAGCGGGTCTCGCCACTTCAAGTATGTTGAAGTAGAGAGCTGCTGGCATCACATCCAATGAGCTGTGGTTTGCAGGCATGCCCTTGGCCCTGGGTTCCTGGTGAGATTCCAGCTGAGTTTAGAGAAGCATTTGGTCCCTGGAAAATAGTGTCAATTCCATTAAAAATATTATGGAGGCACATAGGGCTACTTGGAAGGCTGAGGCCGGAGCATCACTTAAGACCAGGAGTATGAGGTTGCTGCGGAGCTATAGATTCTGGAACCGAGTCACTTTCAACTGGGGAGCAGAAGAGTACCAGAGGAGGGGTCACGCACTGCACTGAGACAGATTGCAGATAGCCCAGCAGAGACAGACGTGCTGGTACAGAGGTGGCCAGAGGCCTGCACGGGCTCTGTGACCTGCCTTGTCCCCACCCAGATGGGTGAGGCTGCAGCTGGGGACTGGAGAGTGAAAAAGGGGTGATGGGGCAAGTCTGGGGGCTGCCACGCACGGCGGGTCTGGCAGCCCAGGTCGAGAGCACACTGGGGTTGGGCCCCTCAATCTCAATGCACCCCAGGGAGTCTTTCCTGCTGACTGACTAGGAATTTTTGTGGCTGGGATCTGGAGGAATCTTGTGAGGATCCATCTCTCTGGTTTTCCCAAACTAGTTTGTATCTCAATTTTTTTTTTTTTTTTTTTTTTGAGACGGATCCTCAAGCTATCCCCCTGGGTAGAGTGCCATGGCATCACGCTCACAGCAACCTCCAACTCCTGGGCTCAAGCGAGTCTCCTGCCTCAGCCTCCCAAGTAGCTGGGACTACAGGTGCCCGCCACAACGCCCGGCTATTTTTTTGTTTGCAGCCGTCATTGTTGTTTGGCGGGTCCGGGCTGGGGATTCGAACCCGCCACCTTAGGTGTATGTGGCTGGCGCCTTAGCAGCTTGAGCCACAGGCGCCGAGCCTGTATCTCAATTTTTTTTTAGCTACCAATCAAACCATGTAGTTTAATGAAGGCTTAACTCAGGGTCCTGCCCATTGTAGCCACAAGAATTCTCACCCTGACCTACATTCTGTAAGGGTCACAGTGATTGGAATTGCTTAGAACTGACTGGAAGGGGTAAGGTTTATTTTCTTTTTTTTTTCTTTGAGACAGAGCCTCAAGCTGTCACCCTGGGTAGTGTACCGTGACATCACAGCTCACAGCAATCTCCAACTCCTGGGCTCAAGCGAGTCTCCTGCCTCAGCCTCCCAAGTAGCTGGGACCACATGCGCCCGCCACAATGCCCAGCTATTTTTTGGTTGCAGCCGTCGGCCCAGGCTGGATTCAAACCCGCCACCTTAGGTGTATGTGGCTGGCGCCTTAGCCACTTGAGCCAGGCGCCGAGCTGGGGTAAGGTTTCAAATCCCGGCTGGGTTTGGAGGTCCAAGCTCTGCGCCCTGGGCCCAGGGGCGCCGTTGTTCAGGCTGCTGGCCACACGGTGGCGGTGTTGGGCCGTGTCTGCTCTCCCAGGGCCGCCTGCTGCTGCTTCCCATCGCCTGCCAGCGCGGTGCAGCCGGTGCCCAGCCGCAGGCCTTCCTCGGTTCGTCCTCCAGCCCTTTAACGCTCCCCGTCCTTACCTCTAGTCTGGTGGCAGAACCTGCTGGCAGGCAGGCATGGGGACCTGGGGGCATGGGCAACACATTCCCTGCGAAGATGGGAATGGGGCTGAGAACAGGGAGGTGACCTGTGGGCAGAGGTGGGGGTTGTCTCTGGAAGTGAGTGAGCCGGTGTGAAACGTTATCCCAGGAGACAGCTAGCTGCACCGGGACAGCCATGCAAGGTCGCCTGCAACACGCTGTGTGTCAGTTCATACAGGCATGTTGGGAGCAGAGTTGGGAGTGTGTGTGTGTTGGGGATGGACCACCTCAGATTCCAGTCTGGGAATAAACCATTTGGAATATGCCACTAGAACTTGACCTGGCTGCAACACCAGGTCCTCTCCCGCCTCCCCAGGGCCACCGAGGGGCCTACGGACTCTGAGTCAGCTGCATGTGACCGAGTGCTGCTTTTCACTTTTCCAGGGATGAGATGTGTGCACATATGTGTGTGCTCTGGGTGTGTCGCCCACCTGCACCCACACGTGAGGGGAGTTGGATCTTCTAGCCAGTGATGCTCAGACATCTGAGTTTCTTGGAGCTGTGAAATGACAGGAGAAACTCAGGCCCAGTTTTCAAGGAGGAACACTCCTCAGTGTTCCAAGGGCTTCGTGTGTCCTATTTCATTAAAAACTCACAACAACCTTATGACCATTCCCATTGCACAGATAGAAAACTAAGGCCCCAAAAGTTTAAATGACACATGCAAAGTCCCACAGGTAAATGCAGCATTGATTGGGTCAGACCTGAACGCGGGGACTCTGGCCCCAGAGCTAGAACTCTCACACCATGCTGCCTGGGCCCTGGACATCTGTCCCACCACGCACTGTCTGTCACTCACAGGCCATCACCACGGTCTATACAGAAAGCTAATTTTAACATGGAGACTGAGGGTAGGTCTTAATTTTTGTGTAAACTGTCTCAGAGCAGCAGATACACATGGACCAGAATTTGGGAATCGTTCTTCTAAACTTGAGTCTTTCTTTTGGGAATCCTGGGAAACCTCCCAGAGAGACCTGCTGGGTGCTGGAAGACCCACTTCCCAGGCTGGTGTTTGCTCTAGGCGGGCTGTGCACTGGTTGCATCTGCTGAGCCAGCGTGGGTGGAGCAGGGGTCACCGCTTGTTGGTTCCCGGGTGTCCACCTAACCAGAGGGAGGGTGATTTTCTTCCTTCCTTCCTTTCTTTCTTTCTTTTTTTTTTTTTTTTTTGTTTGTTTGTTTTTGTTTTTTTTGGCTGGGACTGGGTGTGAACCTGCCACCTCCGGCATATGGGGCCAGTGCCTTACTCCTTTGAGCCACAGGCGCCACCTGGGAGAGTGATTTTCATTAGTCATGATATCTCAATTTGCTCAGTAAGGATGGCTGGTCAGGGCAAGGAAGAGGGGAGAGTGTAGGTTGGAATGAGGTAGGGACAAAGTCTACCTCGGACCAGCCACCAGAGGGCGATGATGCCAAACTCCAAAGCAGGAATGGGGCTGTTTCTCACCTGGCTTTCTTATCTTGGGACTGCCTAGAACCGGGTTCAAACTGCTCTCCCACAAGGGGACAAGCTGGGCATTGACAACGGGGTCTGTGTGTGTGTCGGGGGGGGGGTGGTGGCACAGGTTCCCATAAGCCACAGCCAGTAGGTGCCAGCAAAAGACTGGCCTGGCTCTACTCCCGGGCACTGTGTTCTATCATCTTCA